AAAAAGAAAACTGAGCTTTTTTATGATAAATGACTTACTGAATTATGGACCATAACTGACAATGGTAGTCTCTTGACCTCAGATCTCTCTCTCTCTCTTACTACTCCATGGCAAAACTTCTCAAAAGAATCATCTGCACCCTTGTTCTCCCTGATTAACCTGTGCCACACTGGTCCATAATCCACTGTGTCACAGAAACTATCCTTATCTAGGCCCACAGTCTTCAGTTGCTAAATCCAAAGGTCAGTCCTCTGCCCTCTTAGCAGTGCTCCATACAGATGATGACTGACTTTGAACTACTCCTCTATGGCTTTCTAGACACTCTTCTGGTGATACATCTGTCTCACTCACTGCATCTTCTTTCTCCTTTGCTGGGTTTTCCTCTTCCCAACTTGTACATGTTTAACTGGCTCAGGGTTCAATTTTCAGACCCCTATCTTCTCTCACTACTAAGTGAGCTCATCTAGCCACATGTATGCATATACCTTTTGATGCCAATAATTCCCAAGTGGAAATTTCCTTTCTTATCTGTCCATAAGCTTCAGATATATGTAACCCAAATCCACAGTTAATCTTTCCTCCTGCTGTATCAAGCTTTTTATTGAAAAAATCCTCCATAAAAAAGAAAAAGAAAAAGAAAAAAAGGAAGGAAGAAAAAAAGAAAAATCCTCCTAACCAGTATGGTAAGTGGTTGGTTAAAATTTTTCAAAAGTTGAATATTCTCTGGGTAAAGTGGAGAATCATTTAAAAACAAAGTACACATAACTTAAACATTTTCTTCTTATTTAAAACACAAAGGTTCATTCATTAGCCAATCTTTTTATATAAGACCAAAGCCTTTTCTTTGAATGTAGGCCCACAACTAAATGTTCCATATCATCTTTCCTATATAAACTATAATACACTGAACTGTCCTAGGATTTCAAGTTTCATTTTATCTAAAATAGAACAAGAATATAAAGATACTAACAACACACCCAGAATGCTTTTAGATTTTTATGATTTTTCTCTTTTATGGCTGGCATGTCTATACTTAATTCTATGGCAATTTTTTATGAACCAACTTTATTTTCTCAAGTTAGCTCTCAAACAAACAACAATCTTACCTTACCAACCCACAACTCTCTTTTTTAAACTCAGTATTCATCAGTTTACATGACACTTAATGAATTATATAATTACAGTAATAATAGCAAACATAACAGGGTTCTTGGTGGCATATAATTCAACTGAAAGGAGCAGAGGAACATGGTACACTAAATGATGTTCTATTAGCTTCAGAGTGTTTAGGGTGCTGTTGGCATCAGGTAATATGTCTTATGGTGAAAATGGAAAGTATTGGTTAATCTGAGTCCATTAAGGGGAAATGAGCCAAATTTCCACTTCTTACATCTGTCACCATGAAGCCATGCCTCCTCCAGGCCTCCTTACCTCAGTAAATGGCAATACTCAGTCACTGAAGCTAAAACCTTTCATTCTCTCTCTTCCTTACCAGTATCTGAGACAGCAAAAATGCCTATCTTTCTAGGAACTCTCAAAAGATATCCCTGATACAGTTACTTCTCTCCAATGTCATCCCTATCAGTCCCTGTTGTCAACATCTCCCAACTGTAATAACTTCCTAACCAGTCTCCTCACTTCTACTCTTGCCCCACCCTCCATCCACATGACACAAAACAGCCCAAGAGAATGCTGTAAAGTGTGAGTAAGATGGCATCACTTCTCTACTTTCAACTCTTCCATGGCTACTCATTATTCATGAAATAAAACAGAAACTCCCTGCCATAATCTACCAGATCCTAATGGAGCCAGCACCCAGCTACGTCTCCAGCTCCATTTCATACCACTCTCCCCTTGCACTCTGCTTTAGGCACACTGACGTGCTTCTACATTCCCTCCATATGCCAGCTCCCCACCAGGACCATTGCATATGCAGTTCATTATGCCTGGAATGAGTTCTATGACTCTTCATAAAATTCACATCTTATTTTTCAATGATTATGTCCTCAGACCTATCATGATGACTCCAGCTAAAGAAGTCTTCCTTTGAGGCTCTTTTGTGACTCTCACATCCAAGTTACTCTGCATCATATCATCTTAAGGGCAGTGTTTTCCTTCCTAACAGTTACCAAACATTGTAAATAGCTTACTTAATTATATACTTCTATGTTTCTGTTTCTATCCACTAAAATGTAAAGTTTCATTATTGCATGAATTTCTTCCACCTTGTTCACTGTTGCTTTTCTTACTACCCAGCTCTGTAACAAGAGTAACTGCTTAATAAATATTTTCTGAAGAAAAAAAATTAATCTTCTGAATAAGACCAGCTAAATATATTCTCTATGAGATCAACTGCATAAAAATCCTAAACTCATGTCCAAAAAAAAAAAAAAAATCCTAAACTCATATATAAGAACGTTCAGAGTAGGGGCGCCTGGGTGGCTCAGTGGGTTAAGCGTCTGCCTTCAGTTCAGGTCATGATCCCAGGATCCTGGGATGGAGCCCCATGCTGGGCTCCTTGCTCAGTGGGAGCCTACTTCTCCCTCTCCCTCTGACTCTGCCTACCGCTTCCCCTGCCTGCACTCTTTCTGTGTGTCAAATAAATAAATTTTAAAAATTGTAAAAAAAAAAAAAAAAGAATGTTCGGAACAGCTTTATTCACAATAGTTAAAATCTGGAAAGAAACCAAATGTCTATCAATAGGAGAAGAGAAAAACAAATTACAGTATATTCATAGTAGGAAATATTAATCACTCTATACATTAAAAAAGAATGAGCCAATGATAAGTGTCTCAAAGGTACTTTGCAAAATCAACCAAAAAGAAAAGAGTACCTTTTGTATGTTTCAACTATATAAAGTTTAAAAACAATACAAAACATCTATGGTGAGAAAAATCAGAGTAGCAGTTACCAGTGGAAGGTAAAGACTGGTTGGAAGGAAGCACAAAAAGAACTGGAAATGTTCTACATCTTGACAGGTATGTGAGTTGCATGGGTATACACATTTATAAAAATGACTAAATTACTCACTGCATGCAAATTTTATCACAGTTTTTTAAAAGGTCAAAAGTCTTAAATTTGCTCACTCAGATATCACATGGGGTATAGAAACCCAAGAAATGGAACCACACTACTATCCACTTTCACCAAGACCTACTTACTAATTTGTTCATTCACATCCTAAATTCCTACTCCTTTCTGGCAGAAAATGAAAAGATTTAGACCAAAAAAATTTGATTAATTGTTCCTTATAGCAACATGCTGGGAAAATATATATCACTATGAAAGATAACTTATTATGCATTTATATAGAGTAAATACAACTATGACAGAAAGTGTAAACAGTATATAAGCAATCACAAAAGGAATAACCAATAAAGAACATTAATGAGATGTCAAAGTTCATCAAATGCCTGTAATATGAGACACCCATCACGAATTGGGTGCTAACAAACCCCCAAGCCATAGGCTAAGCAAGAATGTTGTGGTTTTCAACTTCTCTCTAGCCCTCAAAACACCTAAGATATGCAACACATGGACTCATGACAGCACAGTGATGTGCAAAATGCAAACAAAGAATATAAAAGACTAAGAAACAGAGACATGTAATTAGAATGTAAAAACAAATCTACATGAATTCAATATACACATTTCCTTACAAACACACGCTACCCTCTAAACAGCCATGTTAAGAATCACTATCCAGAGCTACAAGAACCAAAACAGTAGTCATGGGCCACATGTACCTACTGAGCACTTAAAATGTGGCAAGAGCATATGAGAAACTGAATTTTTAATTTCATTAAATGTTAACTAATTTCAATTTTAAAACATATTCAATTATTAGAAAGTTTTCAGTATGTTCAGAATAACCTGTTATGTAAACCTACTTTTTCAACTGTTAATTTTGTTAAATTTAAGTATAAACCAAATATTTCCAATGAAAACTTAGTGCCATAATTGAGATGTTAAATATAAAATATACATCAGTTTTGAAGACTTAATTAAAAAATGAAAAAGAAAGGGGAACCCTCCTACACTGTTGGTGGGAATGCAAGCTGGTGCAACCACTCTGGAAAACAGCATGGAGGTTCCTCAAAAAGTTGAAAATAGAGCTACGTTATGACCCAGCAATTGCACTACTGGGTATTTACCCTAAAGATACAAACGCAGTGATCCGAAGGGGCACGTGCACCCAAATGTTTATAGCAGCAATGTCCACGATAGCCAAACTATGGAAAGAACCTAGATGTCCATCAACAGACGAATGGATAAAGAAGATGTGGTATATATATACAATAGAATACTATGCAGCCATCAAAAGAAATGAAATCTTGCCATTTGTGATGACGTGGATGGAACTAGAGGGTATTATGCTTAGTAAAATAAGTCAATCAGAGAAAGACAACTATCATATGATCTCCCTGATATGAGAAAGTGGAGATGCAACGGGGGTGGGGGGGTTGAGGGGGTAGGAAAAGAAAAAATGAAACAAGATGGGATCGGGAGGGAGAAAAATCAAAAGAGACTCTTAATGTCACAAAACAAACTGAGGGTGGCCGGGGTGAAGGGTGTAGGGAGAGGGTAGTGGGGTTATGGACACTGGGAAGGGTATGTGCTATGTGAGTGTTGTGAAGTGTGTAAACCTGGTGGTTCACAGACCCGTACCCCTGGGGCTAATAATACATTATATGTTTATAAAAAAATAAATTTTTTTTAAATGAAAAAGAAAGCTCAACAGCTCACTAATAATTTTTCCACTGGTTATATTTCTGAAGGGATATTTTGGATTCACTGGTTTAAACAAAATAATTATTAAAATTAATTTCACCTTTTCTTCCTACTTTTTTAAATGTTAACTACTAGAAAACTTAAAAGTACATATGTGGCATGTATTGTATTTCCACTGGAAAGTACTATTCTAAAGCTGATATGTCTAAATACAGATTATAGATATCATTATGATACATTAATGGTTAATATTTCAAACACCTCCTGACCTTTTCACTTGATTGTCTTCTTTTCTTTAGTTGAATGAAATCTGTTTCCACTCTTTCTGCCAGCTCTAGTTTCCTCTTGTTCCTTTTAAATGCAGCTAAACTGAATCCTATAAAAGAAACATTAAAAATAACATTTGAGAAATATTAGGGTAATGAAGTAATGAGATATCCTGAAGAGCCTTTCTTAAGAACGATGAAAAAAGGGTTAAAAAAAGTTTTTCCAATGTACACTGAAGTGATAGGAGAATAAGAGAAATAACCTAAGGTTAAAGAAGTAAGAAAAATGTTAAATCCAGACAGGCAAATCAGTCCTGAAGGTAGATGATACCCAGCAGTATCTGCTAATGCATGCTACTGCCAACTTTGGTTTTGAAGGTCTCTGTGCATAAAGGACAAGGAATGAAATCTGGAGGCAATACAGCATGAGAAAACATACTAGAGATTTTCCACAAAAAAGTAAGGAATCTCAAGGAGTAACCTGCCCAGGGAAAAGGAAAAACTAGAAAAGGTCACTGTACACAAAAAAAAAAAAAACCAGGAAACCTGCAAGTTTCAGCTGTGGCTATAAATGTAAAGGAGGAAAAGTCTCACTAGAAAATTCATGAACAAAAAGTACATTCAGACAAATTTAAAGAATTCTTATTATCTGTGTGGTCTGAGAACACACACACACACACACACACACACACACACACGTGATCTTGGTGTTGCAGAGCTTTAAAAACCCATCAAAAACAAATGCAAATACTGCCTGGAAAAACACATCTTAACTTACCAGACCTCAGAATTCCCACGTTCCAATTAACATGAGCCCATAGTTTAAAAAAAAAAATTACAAAATACATGAGAAATGAACCACCAAAAATAAGAGACTAAAAGCCAGCCAAATATAAGAAAGGATAACGTGACCTACAATGGCCTCAAATAATGAAATAATCAGATATAGAATGTAAAACATGTTTATCCTCACAGAAATTAAGAAAAAATATATTGAAAATATAATTAAGGCATAAAAAATGATAAAATGACCAGGCAGAGTTAAGAACAATGGAGCTTCTAAAGATAAGAAATATAATAATTAAAAATTTTAAACTTGATGTATAGATTTCAACAGCCAATTAGATTCAGCTGATAAAAGAGAAATTATAAACTAGAATACAATGCTAAAGAGATAGAGTTTTCTGATTATGGCAGACTAAATTATTCAGAGTAATTCTCCTACTTAATTTACTAAAAATGTTGGATAAAATATGAAGAAATATCATCTTAAAAACATTAGAACCCTTATAAAAAGTACCAAGCTAAATTCTGGGGTAAACCGAGGACTAATGCTGTTATTACTGCACTACGAGCATTTGCCAACACTAGCACAGATGAGTCTGGTTAAATGGCATCAAAGAGAGACATAAGTCAAGCCCAGAGCCCATCAGAGGTGGGAGTTTCATAAGAGACACTTCCCACAAAATGCTGGGGACTGAAAGGGCTAATGCTCTCACAATAGAGCTGATTCAGAACTATGCAAGTCCACTCAGTCCACTCCTACCTTCTATCTAAACACCAAGTACATTCGAGCAAGACTGTCTTGGATCTAGAGGAGAAAAGAATGAGGAGGAGGAAAAGGATAGGAATAAGAGGACTTAGAAAGAAAAAAAAAGCTACCCCTGAGAAGTCCAGAGTTGACTGGAGCACTTGCATAGAGATTTGCAAACACATAGTCTGGGTGGGTCAGGGAATGTTAAACTTCAAATTAAGTTTAAGTAGATTCTGATTAATGGTGTGTAAAATAATAGAAAATATATATATTGGTCTCTACCCTTAGTTCCTAGGAAAGAGCTCTTAAAATCCTTGTAATTTCCTAAATTATAACAGCACTAGGACCATCTTTTGTTCTACTGTTTGGTCTTTGACCCCGGTTTCTAACAGAGCTCCTAAATCCTTTGGCATTCCTTGGTTGATACAAATGTCTTTTGTTTTAATGAGGCAACTCTCTTAGTGGGCTCCCAGATAGCATCAGGATGAAGACTAGTCACCAGAAAGACTAAACCATGATTAAAAACTTGAAACTTTCAGCCCCATCCCCATCCACTGGGAAGGAGGGAAGTACTGGCAATTGAGCTAAAGAGTGAGCATGCCTACATGATGAAACCTCCGCAAAAATTCCAAAAGTACAAGGTCTGGGGAGTTCCCAGGTAGCTAAACATACATGTCAGGAGGATGATACAAGTTAACTGAACCCAAGAATGGGGTCATGGGAACCTCTGATTTATAGCCAGTTGGTCAGAACTACAAGTGACAACCTTTCAACTGGTATCTAAAGAGGAGGTGGTAGATTTATGAGACAAATTCTAACTCCAGCTGGAGTCAGTATTGAACTGAATTGTAGAACACCCAGATGGCGTCAAAGAATTGCTTGGTGTAGAAACCCACACATCTGGTGTCAAAAGTGGTGTTAGAGAGGTGTTTTTATTGTTTGCTTGTTTGTTTGTTTATTTGTTAATTTATTTGAGAGAGAGCATGCACACAAGTGGGGGGCAGGGGCAGAGGGAGAAGACTTCCCAATGAGCAGGGAGCCTGACCTGGGGCTCGATCCCAGGGCCCCAAGATGATGACCTGAACCAAAGGCAGATACTTAACCAACTGAGCCACTGAAATGCCCCGATGTAGAGAGCTGAGTATGACAGCAGTATGAGAGTAAAGGACAGAAGAGTGTTTTTCATATAAACAGTGCACACACAACTGGCAAAAATAAATGCAAAAAATAGTATCTAGAAAAAATGCCTCCATCCTAGGCCACGGTGAAACTACACAAATAATTATTCAAGGGCCATGATAAGCACATAGTCAAAGATAATCAGGCACAAAAAAAAAGGGGGAGCCCCATAAATGAGAACATGCAGGAAAAATATTCCAATTTGGATCTCAGATACCAGAATTATCAGGCATAAATATGAAACAAGTACACTTCTAATGATTAAAAAAGATTTTAAAAACATGAAAAACATCTACAATTCATACCATAAACTAAAAGAAACACAGACTCTTAAAAAACAAAACAAAATCAGAACTTCTAGAAATGAAAAGATAAATAACCAAAACGAAGATCTCAATGTACATGTTTGGTAGCTGATAGGATAGAGAAAAAAGAGCTGGTAAATTAGAAGACTAATCATAAAAAAGTTAGCCAGAATGTAGCTAAAAGAGATTAAATGGAACTAGAGGTATTATGATAAGTGAAATAAGACAATCAGAGAAAGAAAATTACCAGACGATCTCACTCACTATATGCGGAATTTACAAAACAAGGCAGAGGATCATAGGGGAAGAGAGGAAACAATGAAACAAAATGAAACCAGAAAGGGAGACAAGCCATAAGAGACTCTTAAACTTAGGAAACAAATTGAGGGCTGCTGGAGAGGAGAGGGGTGGGGGGATGAGATGACTGGGTGATGGACACTGGGGACGGTCGGTATGTGTTGTGATGAGCACTGGGTATTGTGTAAGACTGATGAATCACAGACCTGTACCCTGAAATAAAGAATACATTATACGATAAATTTAAAAATATTTTAAGGGGGCGCCTGGGTGGCTCAGTGGGTTAAAAAGCCTCTGCCTTCAGCTCAGGTCATGATCCCAGAGTCCTGGGATCGAGCCCCGCATTGGGCTCTCTGCTCAGCGGGGAACCTGCTTCCTCCTCTCTCTCTCCTGCCTCTCTGCCTACTTGTGATCTCTGTCTGTCAAATAAATAAATAAAAAAAAAAAAAAATTAAAAATATTTTAAAAATAAAATAAAAGAGATAAAATTATAGAAAACACAGAAGAAACATTAAGAAATAGGGTAGATAATGTGAAAAGGTCTAATATTATGTTTAATCAGAATTTCAAAGGTGAGAGTAAAAGAATGGGATATAGGTAATGTTTTAAAAAACTGATTAAGAGGGACTCCTGGGTGGCTCAGTTGGTTAAGTGTCTGCCTGCAGCTCAGGTCATGATCCCAGAGTCCTGGGATCAAGTCCCACATCAGGCTCCCTTGCTTGGCAGGGAGCGTACTTCTCCCTCTGCCTGCCACTCCCCACTGCTTCTGCTCTTTCTCTCTCTCTCTGACAAATAAATAAATAAAAATCTTCCCAAAAAATAAAATAACAAAAAATTAAAAATAAATAAAAAATGGAATAAGATTTTTCCAAAATTATAAAAGCCACGAATCTACAGATTTAAAAAATTGTAAACAATGTCCATAAATTAAAATCATAAAAGTTCAAAACTAGATACATTAAGTAAAATAGAATAAGAACAATGAAATAGAAAAATCTAAAAATAGCAAGAGGGAAAACAGGTTACCTTCAAATAAGTGACAGTTAAAATGACAACGGTCTTTTCAACAGCAAAAAAAAAGGAAGCCTGAGACAATAGACTAATTACTATCAATGTGCTGAAAAGAAATATGTCCTGATTCAGAACACTATATTCAGTGAAAATATCCTTCAAAAATGAAGGGAAAATAAGAATTGTTTTATATAAACAAGAATGAGCAAATTCATCACCAACAAGACCTGTACTAATGAAAATACTAAAGGGTGTTCTTCAGAAACAGAGAAAATAACACAAGGTGGGAGCCGAAAGAAAAAAAGAAGTGGAGGGGATTAAATGCAAAGGAAAAAGTAAATAGGCAAATCTAAATGAAAATTGACTGTTATAAAATAATAATGTCTCCCACTGTTTTAAATGCATACTGAGTTTTAAAATATAAACACAAAAGTTGGGAAGATGTTAAATGTAGTTCATTCAAGTACACTATAGTCCTTGAATTGTCTGAGAAGTGATAAAAAGTACTATCTTCTAATAGACTTGCATAAGTCAATTATGTATGTTGAAATTTCTAGGTTAATTCAAAGAGAATGGTAAAAGAAGTCAATACAGGGTGCCTGGGTGGCCCAGTCAGTTAAGCATTTGACTCTTGATTTCAACTCAGGTCATGATCCCAGGGTTGTGAGATCAAGCCCTGTGTCACACTCTGTGTTAGGTGTGCAACCCCCTTGAGATAATCTCTCCCTCACCCTGTGCCCCTCCCCTTGCTCGCTCACTCTCTCTCTCTCTCTCTGTGTGGGGA